TCAAAACCATGCTGATGTAATATGTAGAAATTTGGTGGGAATTGCCCAATTTCTTCTCAAAAGACACTTCATCAAAAATGAAATGCACATTAAAAACAAATACATATGTACATAAAAATAGTCAAATATGCAAAAAAATCAGGATTCATATTTGCATAGACTTAGATGCAAGTGTAGAAATAATTGTTCTAATTTAAGTAGCAATACAATATATCTCACTACAATGGAGGAGGGAGACCGTAACAAGATATTTTTGTTTGCTCATTCTAGTGAAAACTCCTCCTCTCCCTTCTTGCATGTTTTAAAAATACTTAAATTAGACTTGATTAGAGAGTTCTTAAAGCAGAAGACATTTCTTGTTAAGTGGGAAATGTGCCTATCTAATTGTACCTTCTGACCCTGTTCATATTTTCCCACACATTTATAGTGTACCCAATGAATTCAGAGCACATACACATGCAAGTGGTAATTGCGTTCAGTTGGTGGTTGGGAATCTTTTTAAAAGTGTGTCTGCAAATGCATGAAGAACCTGGAGGCATTCAAGAGAAAAAATTGGATAACCATCTGTCAAATCTGCCCTGATTTGAATTCCTGCATTGAACAGGAGTTGGACTCTATGGCCTTATATGTTTATATGTTCCTTCCAACTCAATTATTCTGTGCTTCTATACCATACACACATAGACACTATGAAGACAACACTTGTGCACGTTAGAGATGGGGAAGCATTCTGTTTTTATTTCCTCTGAACAAAATACTGTAGTGGCAATTGAGTGCAAAGTATCTGAGATCCTTTCTCTAGCCAGGGCTTCCTCATTTCAAAATGTAGTATCTCATCACTAGCTAACTGAGCAGTTGCATTCCAGGGCTGAAAAGCAAATTATAGGTCTTCCCCCCCCCCCGCATAATTTAAGCCTCTCTCAACAAATTAGGGCAAAGTGACTGATTCTGATGAAGCAACAAATCAGGTAAGGATTCCACCCCGACCTTCTGTAATATATTAGTCAAAGGTTTCCTCTAGCTATTAAAATGAATCAAAGGCTATGTCAAAGTCATGACTCAAAAGCGCCACTCCTTCCATGAAATTCCATCAACTAATAATTGATCTCAATTCTCTGGGCTTTTTCCTTCACCAGAGGCTACACATGTCTGACTTCCCTTTGGCATCAGAAAACAACTCTGTACACACATACACACACCCCAAAGTATTGAAACGAAACTTGTTCCTGCTCCATGATTAAAGAAATTTCTTTTATTGAGTAATTTAAGTACAAAGGCTTACGAAACATATAAAAGCATAATAAAGTCCACACATTTTTCACAGATAACTATATATATACATGGTTATCTGTGAAAAATAAAGTCTACATATTTGAACAGGGATAATATTGGCAACATCTCTCTCTTTTTACCTTTCCTGTAAAGCCTGATGAGAAATCTAGCAATTAAGCAGGTACTGTACCAATTGAGAAATAAAGGATTGTCTCAAATTGTGACACTCCCCCCCATGAGAGTGCATCAAAAGTGTGCATACTCCTTGCTTAGAGTTAAGAGGTGTTTCTGTTGAAGTGTAACTTCTATAAACCACACAGAAGGTATGTACAGGGGCATAGTGGTTTAATCAGTTATGGTGGCCTGGAAAAGGTTTCCTGCAAAGAGCATCGTGACATGAATTCCGATGGAGTTTTTACAACCTCGCATGATGTCTATGGATCTGTGAGGCTGGGAGGGGCCTTTCTGGGTTAGGGTGACTGTCAATCTACCCAGCACTAACCAATCCTTCCCTTCTGCCTCTGAATTCAAAGAACTCTGCATCTTTGCTAGAACTTCCTTTCCCTCTCTTTAGTCTGTTGGGAGCAGTCTGCTAGTTTGCTGTTGATATATTCACAACTATAAGTTATTCATTCTCTTACAAATGTCTCACAGCTATTGAGACTTTAAGTGCCAGTTAATGAGAAAGGGGTGGGCTATCTGGGGAACTTGTAGCTATTCTCCTCTGTGAATCTCTGTACTTCTAATGCATAGCACAAAGAATTTTACCAGAAATTCAAAACTCTGCAACAAATTCCACCCAGCCCACCACTACAGATCTAAGCTCTTTGACCGGCTGATACACTTCCACAACATACTCATGAGAGCAACTGAACTATTTCACTTGTTCTAAACAATGGGGAAGCTTGCTAAATTTCTCCAGCCCTACATGGTAGGAGATGGAGTGAATAATGGTTAGTGCATCAAAAACTTATATTGGGCTGTAAAAAACAGGAGCTGGCTATAGCCCCACTGGGTTTAGGTATCTGGCTGGGAGTTTTGATTCTCGACTGTGCCTCGTATGAGCAGAACCAACCTGTGTGGCTTTGGGCAAGCTGCACAGTCCCAAGACACCTGTAGGAGGAGGGAATGGGAAGCCAATTCTCTCTATTCTCTATTTGGAAAACCCTGAAAAGGGTCACCATAAGCCATAATTGACTTATTTATTTTATTTATTTATTTACAAGATTTTTTTTATCTGCGCCATTGCCAAAAGCCTCTGAGCAGCGTACAATATTAAAATTTTAAAAACATTAAAAACATTAAAAATAGGCAATATTATTAAAAACAGTAATTGAAACATAATAAATCCTGCTGCTCATGTGGCCAGCTAAAGGATACTATTTAATTAAAATGCTGGCTAAACAGAAAGGTCCTTGCCTGGCTCCGAAAAGCCAAAAGTGTCGGGGCCAGGCAGATCTCTATAAGGATGGCGTTCCAAAGTTCGGGGGCAACAGCCGTGAAGGCCCTATTTCAGCATGCTATCCCCCTCACCTCTTTCAGAGATGGCACCTTCAGAAGGGCCTCCTGGCTTGATCTTAGAGGACAGGCAGGCTTGTATGGAAGAAGGCGGCCCTTTAGGTAACCAGGTCCTAAGCCTTTGAAGACGGTCCCACTTTATATGTCAAAGTAAGCACTTTGAATTGGGCCCGAGCAGCAACTGGCAGCCAGTGTAAATTTTTCAGTACCGGAGTGATATGAGTCCGTGCAGTGGCACCACTTACCAGCCATGCAGCCCAGTTATGTGCCAGTTGTAGTTGCTGGACCATCTTCAAAGGCTGCCCCACGTATAGCGCATTACAGTAGTCCAGTCTGGTTATTCCTAGTCCATGTGTGACTGTTGCCAGGCTCTGCTCATCCAGGTAAGGGTGAAGTTGATATATTCTCCGCAGCTGTAAAAAGGCACCCCTGGACACCGAGTTCACCTGGGCTTCCAAGGTCAGAACCAGGTCAAGGAGCACCCCCAAGCTGCGGATCCTGTCCTTTGGGGGGGTGTAACCCCATCTAAGGCAGGGAACTGGTCCTTTAACCTATCTGGCAGAGCACCTACCAGCAGCACTTCTGACTTGTCTGGATTGAGCCTCAGTTTCTTGACCCGCATCCAGTGCATTATCGATTCCAGAGCAGCGACTGCCACACCTGGATTGTCAGAAAATGAGAAGTAGAACTGGGTGTCGTCAGCATATTGCTGACTCCGCAGCCCAAACCTCCTAACGACCTCCCCCAGTGGTTTCATGTAGATATTGAACAGCATGGGGGACAGTATAGAGCCCTGAGGAACCCCATGACGCAACTGCCATGGGTCAGAGCTACTGTCCGCCAGCACCACCTTCTGGACCCGATCAGCCAGGTAGGACCAGAACCACCGTAAAATGGTGCCTCCCATTCCCATCCCAGCCAATCTGTCTAGAAGGACACCACGGTTGATGGTGTCCAAAGCTGCTGAGAGGTCCAGGAGAATCAACAGGGTCACAGTCCCCCTGTCTCTCTCCCAGCAAAGGTAATTAAACAGGGCAACCAAGGCAGTCTCCGTTCCATAAACCAACCTTAAACCTGATTGAAATAGATCTAGATAATCCGTTTCATCCAGGAGAGCCTGGAGCTGTTCAGAGAACCCATATTTTTGGGAATTTGTGTGTGGATAAAAAGCATCCACAAGACACACAATCAAAATATCTTAATGCTTTTCTTTCTCTTGTAATTAACAGTGCAAGCCTTTCTAAGTCTACTCAGAAGTAAGCGTCACAGACCAGCTCTCTGGCAAGGTTTACTATGACTTTTTGATTTCACTCATGAACCCATTCATCAAATTTCACTGATCAGATTATGAATTTCTTAAACCTATTTTATTTACTCTATGGCTGTTGGCTGGATGACAATAAAATCAAATGATCTGTTCCCAGAATGGAAAAAGCTACTGCAAATTGAGAAAAATGTGATCGCAGCAACATGACCTCTGCTTCCAGATAAATACTGGATTGTAAATTTAACCTTGTTGAATCTTGTCTTTCTTCCTTGGAATTCAACATAGCACCTTTGTAGCTGATAATTCTACTTTCAATGACTATTTGGAAAAACTATATTACGAACAGTAAAACTCACAAATGAGGTTAAAACAACAAATCATAGTTACAATTGTATATACTACTGCTATGCAATAAATCCCATGGTTAAAAGAAAAGCCAGTCAAGAAATAATCTTAATATCTTGGCATAACAACAGAAAATGTCTTATCGCACCTTTAGATTATCAGGTACCTCAACATCTTTGTTAAAAAAAAACACAGCTCAGTGATTTAGGTCTCTGGCTCCAGAGCCAGAGGTTGGGAATTCAATTCCCCACTGTGCCTCCTTGACAAGGGGGAACTCAGTGATCCATAGAGTCCCTTCCAGCTTCCTGAGTTCACAGATTCACAAGACTTTTTGATTTTAAAACAACGGCCAAGCACCAAGCACAGCTTCTCCTGTGAGAATATTAAGGGTTTAATACCGTGTTTTCCCCCAAATAAGACAGAGTCTTATATTAAATTTTGCTCCAAAAAACGCATTAGGGCTTATTTTCAGGGGATGTTTTATTTTTTTTCATGTACAACGATCTACATTTATTCCGATATAGTCATGTCATCTTCTTCTGGTTGCTGCACAAGGGTGGAGTTTCACTTAACTGGGGCTTATTTTTGGAGTAGGGTTTATATTATAAGCATTCTGAAAAATCATACTAGGCCTTATTTTCAGGTTAGGTCTTATTTTCGGGGAAACAGGGAAGGAGTTCTTTCACAGGTTTTAGGATGTCAAACTAATCCTGAATATGAGAGAACAATTATAAAACAAGGGGGAAAGGGGGAAACCAGATCTCTATACATGGTATTTGTTATTCTGGCCTAAATGTGTATTTTGTTTCTACTTCTTAGCATGGGTGTCAGAAACCATATACCGGCCTTTATGTTGCAAAGGCTAAGTTAACATCTGGTGAGACTTCAACTTTGGTATTTTCTGCATAGTCCTGACACGCGCTAATATGGTTTTGGCATTTTCATTTTACGGCAGTTCTGTTCAATTGGCATTCCTGTGCTTTTTCAGCCATTCAAAGACATCACAGGGAGCTGTATCAAACGAGGTATATATTCAAACTGAAACCCTGTCAGCCTTGGTGGGCTTGTCTCTTCTCAAAGCAAAAAAGATCTTAAATGGCTTTGACATGTTCTTTTTCTGACAAACTCATCTTGCTTTCAATTTATCACCTTCTCTTCCTCCAGGCTCTTGTGTAATGGGAGAGGCTGAGTGATCAGCTCTGATTTTGAAGTCCAAATGGGAATTTCTGCATCTCCTCCTTCTTCTTCTTCTTTTAAAAACCCACACTTAAGTCACTTGTAGCAAATATATGTAAACTTTCTAGTAGGAAAAGAAAGAACCCCCCACCCCACCCCCAAAGCGCATCAAAATTGCCAAGGATGCACTGTCCTGCATTAAAATATGCAGGTTTGGCTGAGTTCACCTGAAGAAGTGAGATTCAGATTTTCAAATAATTTCAAATGTCATGAATGGGCAGGGGCAGAGAAAAGAAAAGCTTCAAGGAAGTCAATAGAAGCTTGAAAGCTTTGTTGATTATGTACAAACTTTACTGGCCAGTCCTTTATGCCACCAATTTACCTCTAATTGATTTACAAAAGGGGGTGTAGCTCAGTGGTAGAATATGACACACACACAAAGATGCTGGTTCTGATGCTAAAAAGAATTTTAGCCAGCCTCTGAGCTATGAACCTTCTGCCCCACAATCTTACATGTCCATAATGCTTGTATTACTGGTATGAAAAGAGCTGACCAAATGACCCCATCAAAACTCTCAGCTCTATGTTTCTTCAGAAGTAGGGGTGGAGGGGTAGATGGTAGATATCACAAGTAGTTTATCTGAGATGGTGATCACCATTCCTGGTGGCAGTAGCACAGCTTCTTCCCATTTTCCCTAAACCATTGGCTATTGCCAATGGTATCAGCAGCAGCAATAGTGTTGAGAGTGCAGCTGCCATTTTGCCTCCTCCACCATTTTGGATAAATTATGGGGCCCTGTGTGTGTTACAGAGAAGGAGGGAGATGGCAGCTGCCCTACCACCACAAAGACGTTGGAGAATATTCCATAAAATCATGTCCTTTTTTAGCACCAGAGGTGTGAAAAATAAAAAGCGGAGGGAATTTTCTTTGGAAAGCTTCTTCTGTGAAAGATAGTCTAAAAACAACTTCTCTAGGGCCTTCTCTAGTCTATATAATCAGTGGCTAAGAAGTTAAGACAAGAAGACGTTACCATTTTAAGTGAGCCAGCTTCAGGTGGAAAGGGAAGAACTTTGGCCCAGCTGAGAAAAAAAATCCTGGAAATAAGGAGTCTTCACAGAAGGTAAAGAAATCATTCCCATGAGTTCTACAAGGTAATTTCCTTCTCTGTGATTAATAATTCTCTGACTGCGCGAGGTTGAGGTGCGAAGAAGGCAATCAGGTGCTTCTTTGGCTGGGGCAGGTCCTCTGCTGGAGTTGTCAGGAGGCGTATCCGCTGTGGAAATACAGGCAGATAAGCAGACATTGTCTTTGTTAATTAAACTGTTGGACAAACTAACATCCAATAGCAATCTGCATTAATTGCTGTGGGCAAAGGCATTCCAAGAGCTAATCTATTTCACTTCCTAATGAATGCTTACTGCAATATAAGTATAAAAGAGGAAAGGGGAAACAGCTTAACATTCCAATCAGTTTTGCCTTTAGGCTCACTTGTTGTTGACATATTGTAATAAGTAAACAATAAACAGCCAGCAATAGTTATGGATAAGTTGACAGATGCCATGATTCTACAAGTACAGGATTAGGAAGAACAAATTTTAAACTTTTATAATAACAAGCACCTTCGGGAATTGCCAATTTATTGTGGCAATGATCTCTTCACACAGATCTAGTGAATTTGTTCAATCATGCCCATTCCACAGATCAAAATTTTCAGGCACAAAAGATGTCTCCATCTTCTCCTCATTATTAGAGTTCCAGAGGCAAGCAGAAACATTGTCACTTTACAGATTGTCTCTTGGATTTAATTGGTAACTCTGACGTTCCTACCAGTGCCTTCTAAGCATAACAAATTTACAATTTTTCATGTAAACATAATGTCTCAAATCAGGAAGAGGACCATTCTAAGGGGGTTGAAAACTTAATTTTTTACAACTTCTCAGAAAATGGAAGGGTGATCATACAGTTGCTGTTTTTCATTCCTTACTTGTGGAATTCATTCACAGAAGACATCTTCCTCCATCCTCCACCTCAAATGATTTTGTGAACACTACTGTCAATTATTCTGTCATGGTATGTTCTTTATGGACATGCGGTAAGGTGATATATATCTCTCTCTCAGCGAAGAGGTCTACATACTGAGATCCTACCTCCTCTTTTGCTCTCCTCAACATTTCTCAACCCTTCCAAACCCCCTCTTATTCTTCTTGCCCCAGTGGTCCCTTTTATTCAGGATGGGCAATTTCCTGAGGCATAAGAGCCACACCAATTTACCTCTAGACTTAGAGAATGGCACTTGTTCTCATACCATTTTTTTCTTTTAAAAAGCATTTTTTAAAAAAAAAACATTTGAAAAAGGTCCTCATGTCCCCTGCTGGCCATTTTTTTTTAAAAAAAGTGGCAATAGAGGACACAAGGGGCTTTGGGGAGGAGAACACGTAATTATTTTAGTATGGGGGGGAGGATAGGGGCCCCCAAGGAGGCTTGGGTGGAACAGTTTTGCTCCTGAGAGCTGCATGTATAGGCTGAGATCTGTCCACCCCTACCTTAAACCCCAACCTTAAATGATTCATTTCACAGACAGACTTGAAGAGATTCTAATGCATAGTTTCTTACACTTTCCAGCTTCTTCTGGCAAAAGATTTATTGGCAAAGCGTCAGCCATCTATGGGCAACATAGCAAGCTGCCTTATGCCAAGCTATCAGATTGATTCTAAAAAGAAGGATAGCTCAGTGGTTTAGGTATCTGGCTCCGGAGCCAGAGGTTAGGAGTTTGATTCCCCACTGTGCCTCCTTAACAAAGGCTGGACTTAATGGTTCATAGTTTCCCTTCCAGATCTGCAGTTCTAAGATTATTATTATTATAAGAATAAGAGAACAGTGGTGCAGTAGTAAATGTGAAAGCACAGATACTTATCATGACAGTTCCCAAAGCCACACACTTCAATAAAGAGAGTCTGAAAATGCAGAGAACTAGGCGATCCAGATCAATAAATTAGGAACAGGTCTTTTGTAAAGTTAATATGACTTAATTGCCCATTCAAGATCAAAACACCTCAAAATACTTAGCATTAAAAATAGGAATACGTAGCTTACAACCATATTCAGTTCCTGGGGAAATCCATGTCTCCACCAGCTCTTGTGACAGCCCCACTGAAGCACAGAGGAAACGAGGGAGACTGAAGGGTGTGTGTGGATGATATCGTAACCCCTGCTATTCAGGAAACTGACTGGGCTCTGACTCCGTAAGTCATAGCCCTGGCTTCATTTACAGTATATGGCTACAAACGGGACCTGCAATGAAATATTGCAACATGCTACGTTCCTGCTCACTGTTCCCATCAATAAGCCATGCCCTTTTTCAAGATACATGAATGGAAAACCCAATGGGGTCAGCAGTGATGGATACAAACAATCCAACACCCACAAAAAGCCCAAATAGTAATTCAGAAAATGATCAGCTTTCTCACAATTTGTACAAGAAACACTTTGTTAATTATAAAACATCCCATGTGTTCATAATAACATAACCACCTATACACACATACATAATCAACAACAAAGAGAATCAAAAACAAGTATCAAATACAACAGCACCCTTAAGAAATGTCAAGGAGTACCAGTAAGCTAGTTGGGTCTTTGTGGATGCTTGATTTTTTGCATGCTTTTAGGATACACCATTGTCCACTCCGCCTCCCACCTGGTTTTCCATTTCCACTCTCAAGAAACAATAAGCATTCAGTGGTCTCTCTCCATGCCCACTCCTTCTATGGCTTTCTCAGAGTTCATCTTCTTAGCAGTTTAGTAGTAATAATAATACTGTGAGATCTGGGGTTTTCTCTTGCTTGTAGAGTCTTCCTTATAGCACCAAGTAAGGATGGTGTTATTTTGCCAGCTCCACCTCTCACCAGCTGGTATGTGTTGCTTTTCTCCTGCTCTTTGTGCAATCATCTAATTACGGCAGAAGGATGGACTTCCCTTCTCTGCCTCTTCCAGCAGCTGCCCACTGAAAGGCACTGCTGCAGGAATCCCTGCCCAATCTTATTGTCTGAATAGGCAGCTGCTGGAGGAGGTGGAGAAGGGAAGTCTGTGCTCTTGCTGCAACTGGATGATTGCATGAAAAGCAGGAGCAAAGCTGGCTGATGACTGGGGAAGCCAGCCAGGGGTCATAGGAAGGGAATGCATTGCACCTGTAGGGCCACACCAACGAAACAGCATGAACCTCTGAACCAAGGTTCGTGCCCATGTATAGGGTAGGTTGTGGGATATACTTTTAAGGATTTGGGATCTGGATGGTATCAACAGTTATGCTTGAGTTGAACAACATTGGTATTAACATCACTTTTCTAGTCTAAGGTTACCTAAACACCTAGATTTTCATGTTGGTAGGGTTAAGTCACTTATTTTCAAATCTCTTCTTGATACTTATTTTTATCAATATTTGTAGTTTTTTCCTACCTAAACATCGTGTGGGATTTGCAGCAGGCCAAATGGCTTTTTAAAATTGCAATTATTGCTTTTATTTTAGTAGCAGGTTAGCTGTTTGGGGACATTTGTTCCATTTGTTCATTTAATTGTTTCATTTGCAATGTTTGTATGTGTTACCTATATTCCCGGTGTTGTTTGTTATGGCCTTTGGCTAAGGCAGCAAACTGAAATAAACAAGCTACTTCAGTTTAAAGGGTTTTATGGTCTCACTTCTTTAATTTATTGTTGTTATGATTTATTGTTATTGTCTAAAGCTTCTTCCACACTGAGGTGGTGGCAGTTCCATGAGCTAACAGTGCAAAGTTCTTAGAGCTAGCAGTGAAAAGCTGTGGTGGACAGAAAGTTTCTTTATTTCCCTTCTCCTAAATTTTTTTCACTAAACTCAATAGGATATATATATATAATATTATAGTGTTAATGAACAAACAAGTAAGACTTTAAAACTGGTGAGGTAATTCTTAGAGACTCTAAAGGTCTTTTTCCTTTTCATTCTAATGTTAAAACATGAGGTATGGTATATCACCGACATCCCTTATTTACTTTGAGGCATTTGGAAACCATCAATTTGGAGCCTAGTGTTCTTCTTGTAATACCTTTTTGCTTTTCTCCACAAAAGTCAACCACTTGTCAAAAAATGCACAAACAACTCAGTCCTTGTCAAGTGAACCACCTTCCTTCAGTCTCAGTCACCCTGTAGATTCCCTGCGGTACGATGTGCCTTTCTTGTCACACACATAAAGACATGTCCTTATACACTACACAACTGTCAATACACCCAACTTGGTGTTTCAAACAACGATTTATTTTTCTCTTTTTATTCTTTCCCATTGTATTTCTACTGTTTGTGTCTTTCGCCTCCCTTGTGAGTTTTGCCAAAGGCTTTCTGTCCTTTTCTTCAATGTCTGGGGCTTTGCCTCACAACTTGTCCAAATGAGGTGGATATTAAATCAGTGCCAACATACAGCCTGTCATTTTTTGTTATGTTAAAATCCACCGACAGTAAACAGGGCCCTCCAGGCACAACACTACCTTCTCAGAGGTTGGATTAGGAAGGATACCCTCTGAAAAGTTCATTCTCTTCAATGCTAGTGTAAGATTCATCCACCTCTTCACCACTGCAATTTGAATTATTTCACCAAAATACACATATAAATTCATCCCATGAGATGCATATCTCTGCAAGACTGCGGTTTTTCTTTGTCAAAATAACTGTTATACCATAAGCTGTAGATTTCAATGAATAGTAATGTTTCCTTTAAAATCCTTGAAAGAATTCAGATATCCCAGCACATGGTCTATGTGAACCATAGTTTTAGAACTCAAAACAAGTTTTGAGCTTCCAAATCTACAGGCAAATCCTGGTTTAGAATCACTTAACTATAGTTGCAATCTCTATCCGAGTCTTTAGAGACAGTTATAATGATGGCTGATTAATTTAAACACCACAGCAAACCATAGCTGGCAAGGACCATGATTTGTTGATGAACTTCAAACTATGGTTTCCACTTCTTGCTTTCCAACCCATCAGTTCAAACACCATTCTAAATCATAGCCACATTTCTTAAACCATAGTTTGGCACACTGGTTGAAATGAACTAGCCTTGTTTAGTGGTCTTCCGTCTCAAAACAGAAGTAATAACTCTGTCAAATTATGTTCTTCATCCAAAGTGACTTTCTCCCACTAGAAAAGGGTACTCAGATGTCACAGATGTTCAGCAGTATCCCTACATGTCTTATGACCTCAGAGAAGAGCAACAGTTGTGGGACACAGAAAACACAGGCCTTTCTGAGTTTCTACACACACACACACACACACAAATCACTACATTCTATTTAATTTACTGCATCTGAAGAAGTAGTACAGGCCTTTCTGATTTTTTGCACACACAAAAAGCCTGACTGAAATCACCCACCAGCACAATTTCCTGAAAGACAGTAGACAGTCCTGCTCTATAGCCAAGCTCTATTCTGTGTCCTCAGAGATGCGACCCTTCTGTTTACCTGCTTTAATGGTCCTTTGGTTTTCAGGAGGATGAAGATGGCGTAGAATGGAATGCAGACCATCGAGGACACTGCCATTATCCAGCCCAGAGCAATACCCCATGATGGATATTCATAGACATTGTTATACTTGAGTGGTGTGTATCTAATGAGTGAAAACAGGAAGGTTGCCTACAAACAATAAAAAAGACAGTGTGACAAGTGTGATCAGAGGCAGTCAACCAGAAACTTGTATAAACCAGTTATTCAGAAGGAAAGGAGCTACATAACTAATGTGGGACCCCTTTACTCATCTGTTTTGTCTCTTTGAGAAGGATGATCCAAGTTGAACTTTGTTTGGTCCATAGTGAAACAATTGTGAAGTTCCACTCCTGAACATGGGATTAAGGCTAGATTTAGCTTTTGGGCTTTGAGCAAATGTACTGGGATGCCCAAAGCTGAGATGATTGTAGAGAGTTACATTGAAATATAGAGTGAGAGATTTCCAGCCCAGAGGTCAATGGCAGGATGCTTTATTGATTAGGCAAGGCAGAAGCCTAAATTTCTAATATTCTCCCATAATTCTGCCTGCCTGCCTGCCTGCCTCCCTCCCTCGGCTGCCTTTCTCACAATAAGGGGACTCAAGCTAGCTCACAGTATTTAAAAGAATAGAATTAAAAGCACAGTAAGTTATATAATAAAAGAGCCATTAAACTATAAAACTGATAAAAATACATTGAATACTTTAAAACATGTAAAATGTTAAAAATGATTTTAATATTACAAATGGCATTCCGGGACTTCTCTTGTTCCTTCTCCATCTATTTTGATTATTTTGTATCTGTTCTGTTGATTCCTAGTTTAAATATTCAGCCATAAACCAGAGATGCAATGAGCATTAAAAAATTTTAAATCTCAGTCATGGTGTTTTTCAGAGTCTTAACATGCATGCTGAGATTCTTTGTTGATTCTCAAGGCCATGGTCTCATATTTCTCTTTCTTTCCTCTCCTTGTTTTTTCTTTCCTATTGTTCTATGCAGGAAACTACCAAATTTTGCACTTCTCAGTGCCCTTTCTGATGAGTTGAAAGGTGCCATTTTGTGCAACTTGACTTCTCTTCCCCCTAAAAATGACCAGGAAACTTGAGGGAAATCCTGCAAAGTTTCTCACAAAATTTCTTGTGGGGAGAAAAAAAACCTCAAAGACATTTTTCTGCAAGGAGAATGCAGAGTAGCATTTTTCTGCATGGAGAATGTGAGATTCATATTCCTGCATAAACTACGTTGAGTATCTAATAAGCTGGAAACATAGGATATAGTGGTGCCTCGCTTGACGAGGACAATCCGTTCCAGCAAAATCGCTGTAAAACTAAATTGTCGTCAAGCGAAAGTAAATAACCCATTGAAATGCATTGAAAACCGGTTCAATGCGTTCCAATGGGCGAAATACCTCAGCGTCCAGCGAAGATCCTCCATAGGGCAGCCATTTTCCAGTGCCTGTATAGCGAGGAATCCATCATAAAACACAGCGGGGAGCCATTTTCTACAGCGGGCGGCCATTTTGAAGACCCGACGATCAGCTGTTTTGATCGTCATTAAGCAAAAAATTGGTTCCCAAAGCAGGGGACCAATCATCGTCAAGCGATTTTTCCCTATTAAAACATCATTTTGCTATCGCTATAGCAATCGCAAAATACTCATTGTAAAGCGATTTCCTCGTCTAACGAGGTAATCGTCAAGCAGAGCACCACTGTATAAATATTTCAATCAATTGGAAAACAAATTGCAACAGAGAGACAGAGAGAAAGACTGTTTGGGGTATGGGGTACATTGGGCTACAAGGGGTCTGCTGAGGTTGGAGGAGGAGCGATGTGTTATTTGGCATGCTCCTCTTATCTAAACATCAGATGACCCATTACAGCCCAATCTGTTGTTAGTTAAGCACTTCCCCTGATAGTCTGTGGAAGGTATGGGGAAGTGAAAATATTATTTTTTACATTGCTCCTCTCTCCTTCCATTGGTGCCATTATGTTTCCTTCCTCATCTCCCTGCTTCCCTTCCCTTGTTCTGCAGCCATGATGCAGCTGGAAGCTGAGGCTGCTGGAGGAGGCTATCTCCTGGCTAAACAGGTTAAATAAGAAGCATGCCAACAAGGATGCATGCTCTACCGCTGGGCCAGAAAGCTTTTAAAGGGGAAGGATAGATCATTCTAAGCAGAAACACTTGCAGATGAGGTCTTTTTTTCTGATCTAAACCGTGCCATCAGCAAGCCATATGCCATATCTATATACCAGTGTGGACAGGCGACACTGACAGGACAGGCCACAGAGATAGAAACAAGAGATAGAAAGATCTTCCTTCCCATCCCAAGTGGAGAAAAGTCAGTGTTCTTTTCCTTCTCAGAGTCCAATTTGTACTTGAGAAGAACTAGAGAATGCAGGAGACAATCCTGTTTGCAATGCTTTGCCTCTGCAAGTAAGACAGGTTTTTAATTTGAAACCATATGATCACAAACATTTTTAACATTGCAACAGAACAGCCAGAAGCTCCTTATACCAACTGTAATGTTAACTTTCAATTCCCATTCTAAAGTGTGTTGATTATTTAAGTAAGTACGTAAGTAAGTAAACAAACAAACAAACAAAATCAATAAATATTTACCAGGCAAACTCCAGGTGTGAGAAAGAGCCAGCAGTATTTAATCAGGGGCCATGGGCGATAACCAATCATATCTTCAATATTGTCATAAAAGCGGTTAGCGCCTTAACAGCAACGAAGAAATAGAGATATTATTTTTTAGAAATAAAATAATCCATGTATATCTTTGACATTACAAACCTCTAAAATAGAAACCAAATGCTGGAACGAGTATGATAAATAAAATAAAAAAAATTCACACATTAGGTGCCTTGTGGAGAACATCTGCCTTCATTCTGGGGTGAATCCTGCTCTCCAGACCTTGATCCACAAGATGCCGGGGATCCCGTCCTGTACTTTATCTGTACGCCTCTATTCCTCCTTATCTTTAGGGCAACGTGACACTATTATTAGTCGCAGACTGCATTTCCCAAGCGACTGCTCTCCAGATGTCTTTGGACTCAAATCCCCACGGGCAGGCTGCCTGAGGAAAGTGGGAGTTATCCCAATAACTGGAAGGTGCCAGCTTAGTGAATCTTGCTCAACCGAGAACCCATTTCATCAGCCTTATGGATGACCAGGATTTTGAGCCTTAAATCCCCATACAACGGTCCAACTCTTTCAAGTCACTCCACCACAGTAGCTAGAATGTCATGTGAAGAAGATTCACCGAGATTACTTGATATAGTCACGGTGGTGACCTGAGGCACCATGCCACATAAGGTGAAAAAAGTGCCAACACCCTATCTATTCTCCCTGCTGGTGCCATCTCTCTGTCCCCCACCCCCCACTACCCACAGATCCCGTCCAAGGGGAAAAAAAGGAGCCACTGCATCAGGCACATCAGGCAAAACACTGGCTCCGTGCAAAAGTATGCTGGACCAGGAAGCAAATCATTGAAAACAAGAAGCAACTCTTACGGCAGCCAAAAATTCCAGCCAGTGGGCAGGAAGGGAGGCAGTTAAAAGGCAGATTGTGATAGCATATGGTGACAAATACTGCAATGTAAGGGTGGAGAAGGCAAAGTTCTATGGGCAGGAGAGAAGTGATGTGAATTGGGGCCAACAAACATCATTGAAACACCTTTCACCAAAAACTGAGGCTGTGGGGCTGAAAAGAGAGAGAGTGGCAGCGATGGGGCAATTCATCACTCTCAGTCCCCTCCTGCCTGAGGTGGCTGCCTCACTTTGCCCAACAGTAGGGCTGAACACGAACATTCAAAGCAGTAAATTGAGTTATCAACAAATCTGAAGGAAAAAAATTAATCCTTTTTTTCGGAATTATGTATTTCGGCATTTATATGCTTCACTTGCAGCAGTAACATTCCCAAGGCAACTCACTCAAATTATACTAAAACAAAAATAATCACATTGAATTAATAATAAAACTATACATAAAAATCATAATATACTCCATATTAGAATGCTAGAACATGAACAGCATTATTCCATAGGGTCCCTTCTCACTCTGCAGTTCTAAGATTATTATTCTGTGCATCTCAACTTGAAAGTCCCTAGAATTCAACAAGGCTTGCTGTTTTATTTTAACACATTTCTATTCTGTGCTGCAGTATATACTTCCCTCACAATTGTAGAAACTTAAAAAATGTGTGAAAACTCATCTCTTCTAACTGGATTTGCATATAGTTTTACTGATTGCTGTGATTATTTTAACAGCTTTATTATAATTATTATAATGTTATTGGTTTATCATCTGGCTCCCCAGATGTTCTTGGACTGCAACTCTCAGAAATCCTGGGCAGCACAGCTAGTGGGGAAGGATTCTGGGAGATACATTCCAAGGTGGCGACCCAATGGTCTCGTCTGTTTTGATTTCCCTTTCAGTCTCTTTCAATGATGTTTGTGACCCATCCTGACCACTATCTTTTTCAACACAAAATCAAGAGGCAGCATAAGAAAGTAGAAAGCCAAGACAGCAGAAAAAAGAAAGTAAATAAAAAAGAATGATGCGATAGAAAGAGGGCTATTGCACTTCTCTCTGAACACATCCTATCCCTCCTGTGGTCAGGCACTTGGCTGACCACAGGAGGGACAGCTTGACAAAGTCCTGCCCAGTGCAGTTCTTCTTACATTAAGTGAAGGAACAGATTACAATCAGGAAGGCTGAAGAAGAGAATCACATTATATCCTTCCATTCATGAAAGGTCACACCAACACAACAGCAACTGAGAGCAGAGGTCCCAGTCTACACAACTGGAGCTGTTTTTCCCAATATAAGTTATAGCAGAAAGTAATTACCAGAAATCCTTCAATGTACACCCGGTGGCATTCTTGTTGTGAATTACTCCCCAAAATTTATAAGTGTTATGGCTGAGGTACAAAGTCCTTGACTCTTCAGATGTTGCTGGACTACAATTCCCTCCATGCCTGGCCAGTGGAGGCTGGTGAGTCCTATTTTACAGTGATGGTAAATCCACTTGTGACTTTACACAAGCTATCAAAGGTTCTGAACCTATTTCTGGACACGATTCAGCACCTTGGGTATTGATGTCTTTGCCATCAAGTCACTTCTAAATTAAAGCAACCTCACAAGATAGTGACCTCCAGAGAGCATTAACAGCCCTGATTATTTCTTACAAATGAAATACCATGGCTTCCTTTTCTGAATCAAGCCATCTCACATTTGACCTTTCTCTTCTCCTGCTGCCTCTAACTTTCCCCATTATTGTTGTCTTTTCTAGTGAGTATTGTCTTCTCACAATATGCCCAAAAGTAGAGTAAGCCCAATTTAGTCATTTTTATTTCTAGAGAGAGTTCAGGTTTGATCTGATCAGCACCTTCTACAAAGACTGGACTAAAACCTGGAACAGATTCACTGCCCCTGTGGAACTGGAGTCATCAGCCTCCACTGTCCATGCTAGTTCACAGGAAGTGGATTCTAGTTATATCTGGAGAGCAGTGCACAGAATTGCAGCCTTAAACACTTGACACACTGCCAATTAAAAACAAGAAGAAAACAAAGTAAATTAAAGAATGTTCAAGCAAGATTTCATTCTTATACACTTAGAGGTGTATAGTCCTGCGGCTGAAAAAGCTGAAAACTCATCTTTGTGACTACAGAATGGATTGACACATATAAGACTTAAGATGAGCGAGACACCCAATTTCCACTCCACAGTTCCAGCAACAACAGTTCTAAAATGTACATAAAACCCGTGCTTAATAATGTAAAGCAAACGATGTGTATTGTTCGCAGTTGGTGTTTGTTTCCTCATCTCATTGTTATTTTATATTTCTAAAATAAACTACTTCCCAAGGAGGGTGAGGGAAGAGTACGTTACCATTTTAGAACAGGATTCTAACACTTCTCATCTGCTGCTACTGTGTTTTATAAGGTGTTTTATGGGTTGTTGTCCCTCCGTATCAAGTTTTCAGAGAAAATGTTTTCTTCTTCCTTTTATCTCTTTCTCCATCACACTCTTTTATATTCCATAACAATAGTGACTGTCCTCCTTATCTGATTGAATTGGACTGTTTTAATGGTTTCTTAGTGGTTCTAGCCACCGAGTTTATTTTATGAGTTTTCCAAAAGCTGAACTGCATTACATGGTATCGCTACTGATGGAGTTGGACTAAGGGCCACTAAGGGACGATGTGGCTTGCTCTCCAGGAAAAACAACATGACAAGCAATGAACCATCCTGGCCGAATTGCTTACCATAGGAAGGAGCAGGAGGAAAGTGTTTGCTTCCCCCTCTTCATTGTGTTTCAACTGCTGGTTGTCCTGAGACTGCACAGAAAGGGAAGTGCATTCTGGCCCCTAAGGGTGGCTTGTGGACTGACTGAGAGCTCCAAAATTGGGGGTACCCCCTCTTCCTTGTTTCTGTCCATGGAGTTTTCTTGGCAAAGATATTGGAGTGGCTTGCCATTTCCTGCTCCAGGTGGATCGCGTTCAGTCAGAACTCTCCACTATGACCTGTCCGTCTTGGGTGTCCCTGCATGGCATAGCCCATAGCTTCTCTGAATTACTCAAGCCCCTTCGCCACAACAAGGCAGCAATCAATGAAGGGGGCCCACTCACTACCTCTTATCAAATTTGTAGGCAATACTTTTGCTCAGCTGTAGTCTGTTCAGTCATAAATGTACCTCCAAAAGAGTTGGCATTTTGCTTCTTCAATTTTCTTGAGAATTAAGGGGGCCCACTCACTACCTCTTATTAAATTTGTAGGCAATACTTTTGCTCTATTCAGACACTTGGAGCATGGGGATCAGGATTGGGCACCAGAGGACCAATCTCTCACCCTGCTTTACCACTGAGAAGAAATATTGCTAGACCTCAGTCATAAATGTAGCTCCAACAGAGCTGGCGTTTTGCTTCTTCAATTTTCTTGAGAATTAAAAATCAAGCAACACATTTCAGCTCTCATTTTCATCTCCAAGCTCTACAACCACTCAACCAATCTGAATCTGTTATTTTTGTACAACCAAATCTCCCACTCAGTTTTTGGGACAAAAATGAATCCGTTAAATGTAATCCAAGATGCTCAAAGAAATGCAGTTCAGACTCTTAAGATCAAGGGCCAACATTTAATTGCTACAACCAAGCAGATTTAGAACTCTTGAACGAATTCCTGAATAGCGGGTCAAACTGTACACAAATCTCATGAATCCAATGAGATTTCTGTAGCTAGGGCTATCAGCTGGACTCGGGCCCATGTGCTCCACTGCTTGATTCTAAGCTGCACAGTCTACTTTCAGATCATAGAGATTTTAATTACTGGCAGCCAAAGTCACAATGATGTGATCTGCCCTCAGAGCATTCCTACACCTGGTCTACTGTGCCATCCCAGAAGTTTTTCCAAAGGAATCTAGGCAGATCAGAAGTCAGGAATAACATTCCATGATAGAACCATAATGTAATATATCTTACTAGAAGGACCTCATTAAGTGCAATGGGACCCTAGAAGCGGTAAAAGAAAGCCAGAGAGTGAAAATCTCTAATTAAAAGCAATTTGAATCACTTCTATTTCCAGTTAGCAGATAGATTAGCATTTTCCCCCCTAACCCGCTGCCTGCAGAAAATGTTATATTGCAGGGTTTCAGCTAAGCCATCAAAAAGCAAACGGCAATGTAGCAGAAAACAACAGAAGCTGACATGAATGGATT